TGGATTTGGCCCATGGGACACAGTTTGCCAACTCCTACTCTACTGCAGCGTTCTTCAACCTCAGCAGTACTGACATTTGGGGCTGGGTAATTCTTTGTTGTGAGGCTGTCATGGGGATTTCAGGATGTTTAGCAGCATCCTTGGTCTCCACCCACTAGATGCCAGTAGCATCTCTCAAGTCGTGACAACTAAAAAATCTTCTGGGGGGCAAAATCACCCCTAGTTGAGAAACACTGGCCCAGAGCAATTAAACATATAAAGATGTAGCTTGAATTTTCTAACAAATACCCTCACCAGGTAGAAAAATAATTTAACACACTGTAAGTATTTATACTCACTTAGCTAAAATTCCCACACTTAGCAATAACTTTATAACTTCTGTGATACACACGGCTGTGGTTGAAAAGTAGAGTTCTTTGTCTGATGTCCTTGTGTATCTTAAAGCTATGGTATAGGCTGCAGCCATCACGGTCATCACTGCCAAGCAGTATAACTTGAATAATAAAGTGACATTGTCTGGAAAACACGTGCAACAAAGACATTACTTAGTAGACAATATATGTATATATGTTAATAAACTAGTTATAGCCCAAAAATACTTTCCAATTCCAAGCACAAAATATTTTCTAAAACTCATGTTTAAAAATTTTTTCAAAATGCTTGCCAATTACATGAGCCACACACACACACACACACACACACACACACACACACACACACACACCATAGCTGACTTTAAACATCAGCCAATTAGGCATAAGTTTTGTTCCTGGGGAATGCCCCAATTGCAAGACTATGTAGCATACGGATTCTAGTTCAGAATGTTATAAATTACATTATATATATATTGGTGGTGGTGGTGGGTTTTTTCTGGAGACAGGATCTCACTCTGTCCCCCAGGCTGGAGTACACTGGCGCAATCTCAAGTCACTGCAACCTTGCTGTCCAGGTTCAAGCGATTCTCGTGCCTCAGCCTCCAGGGACTACAGGCGTGGACTACCACGGCCAGGTAATTTTTTGCATTTTTAGTAGAGATGGGGTTTCACCATGTTGGCCAGGCTGGTCTTTAACTCCTGACCTCAGGTGATCCACCCGCCTCAGCCTCCTGAAGTGCTGGAATTACAGGTGTGAGCCACCACGCCGGACATATATTTTAGGACAGGGTCTCACTCTGTCACCCAGGCTGGAGTGCAGTGGCACGATCTTGGCGTGATCTCGGCTCACTGCAAACTCCACCTCCTGGACTCAAGCGATTCTCCTGCCTTAAGCCTCCTGAGCAGCTGGAATTACAGGCCTCTGCCAGTACACCTGGCTAATTTTTGTATTTTTAGTAAGGATGAGGTTTTACCATGTTGGTCAGGCTGGTCTTGAACTCCTGACCTCAGGTGATCCTCCCACCTCGGCCTCCTAAAGTGCTGGGATTACAGGCATTAGCCACCACGCCTGGCCCCAGCACATATTTTAAATATTTTTATGATTACAAACTTGTGGATACAAAGCATGAAACCAACTGCAGCAATGTATATTCTAGATTTAAAGGCAGCAGAAAGAAAATAATTGAGAAATGAGTGGGGCTTAATATAAAACTTTATCACAATAAGAACTTACATCGAGCCACTCATTTCACTGCATTATACAAAATAATTCAAAATACAGGAAAAGAATATTAAGAACACAGCTCTATAAAACTAGAAATGCAGGAAACATACAAACACTCAAGAATTACCTGCAAGTATATCTGAGCAGCAGCCATCTCTCAGGCACCAAAGCCTGTCCAGGACCTTTGGTAAAACCATAAGCACTGGGTACCAACTCTCCCTCATACTTCCTTATTCCCAGACCTGCTCAGAACCTGCCATCACCCAAGGATCAAACTATTTCTACTTTCCTTACCCAACTCCCACCTATTGTCCAATAGTCCCCTTAAGCTCCATTCAAATCTTTAGGCTCAAGGTTAAACAGGGATCAGCAAATTTTTCTGTAAAGGGCCAGAAACAAATATTTTAGGCTTTCCAGAGCCATACTTTGACAACCCCAGGTTAAGAATCAGAAGGACACCGGGTGACTCCAGCCTGCTACTTTAACTACATTATATGCTAAGTACAATTTTGTTCATTGTTTTAGGAGCCTAATCACAATTCAAAGACTGTTTTCCTAGGAAAATAAAACAGGAGTTTCAAATAGATTATCTTTAGATACGGTATGGTTGGAACTTCCAAGGAAACAGGTTCTTCAATATAAGTATTTTCCCGAGTGAATTAAAGAATCTTTTCTGATTTGTCGGCAATTTTTAAAAATCATATCAGGTTTTAAATAAAAAGTAAAACAGAAGAAATATTTTTTAATTGCTTAAACTTTCTTTCCAAAAGATCTGAGGAGCCAAAAATCAGTGTTTATAAAAAAGGAAGTGAAGGAGATCACTGTAATACTTCCTTCGTTCTAAAACTTTCCTACACAAGGGAAAAAATATGACTTCAAAAATAAACAGCAATAACCTTTAATCAGTAGAAGAGAAGGCACTCCCTTTAATCAGTAGAAGAGAAGGCACTCCCCATCTTCTAGATAAGGGGTGAACAAACTATATATGTCACTAGTTTACATGAGGCCTGTGAACTCACAATGGTTTTACATTTTTAAATACTTGATTAAAAATGTAGTAACATCTTGTGATACACGAAAATTGCATGAAATTCAAATTTTAGTGTCCATAAATAGTTTTATTAGAACATAGCCATGCTCATTTGTTTCTAAGTTATCCGGACTACTTTTTTCCCCCTACAACAGCAGATCTGAGTAGTTATGACAAGAGACTATCCAGCCCTTTACAGGAAGAGTTTGCCAATTCATGTCCTAGATTATCAACATTTTCACAAATAACAGAGATTAGGGCTGATAAACTAAAAAGTACTTTATTTTAGGTATTGCATAGGTTCCTGATTTCAAAAACAACACAGTGAATATTTAAACACTAAACCAAATATTGAGGGCCTACAAACATATTTTGACTTATAATATTGTCATTAACTTGAAAAAATAGCTTTTTGCATAGTGATTACATAGGAATATATATTATACTCTTGAAACTACTGATCTAAGTGGAAGAGTAATCAAATAAGTTTAGGAATGTGCAAAACAGATTGGGCTTTAATATGGAATACCAGTTTTAAATGTATTTCAACTTTTAAATACTAAATGTTTTTAAGTACGATTTTCTCTGGCAGTTTAACATCAGACTAAACTATTTCTTGTTCACTCCATTCACAAATTCTCCAGTATAAAATTTCAGTTATTAGCAATTTCAGTTATTTCAGGGTAATATCAAAAGTCCATATGTAATCACTTCAAATTGGGCAAATCATTCAAACCACACCCAATGCCAGTAACTATAAACCTAGCCGACAACTCAACTGGCAGCCACATCTTAACCCTGCATTGTTCTCTGCTTCTCACGAAGTTCTGTTTACTCCTACACAGTATTTGTGTGGAAATGTCCCCCAAAAGAAACTTACAGTTTAAAATTTTTTTCAGTTACGTTTTACTATAGTTTATGGGGACATTACTTGTAATACCTAAGAACTTAGAAATTCAGGAAGTCCCAGATAAATCTTTTGTGGATATTCGGAAGCTATAGAAACTGTAATTTTGTTAGGATTACAATCAAGGCTCAACAAATATGTACTGGCAATAAGCCTAAACCTTTACATTGTTGCAGCTATTTCAAGTAATGATTTGACTTCTGTAATTTATAAGTTTTCGTTCGGATCAATTTTGCTATCCCCATTCCATTTTAGTTATCAAAACAATTCTATTTCTTTTTCCTTTATTTCCTGTGTTGCTACACAAAAGGCTTTTAAGATTGGACTTATTTGAAATGAAACAGAAAGAAGACATAAGAGAAGCATATGCAACTAAAGACAATGCCCCTGGGCAGGGCCTGATGATAAACATGGACCTCGCAACAGGGAAAATAACTTGACACCCACGTAAGAAGATATTCCTTAGGTATTCGTTCAATATTTATTCAAGGATGAAGCCAACTGTTCTATGGAGGAAGGGTGGAGCAAGAATCCGAGTGTTGTCCAACTTCTCCTAGTTAATGCACCACAGTCAAAAAATCCACCTCTGGTCCCAACTTACACTGCTCAGCAAAAGTGGTGCGGAGTCAATTAGACTCGCCCTCCTTAAATGCCAATTAGTAAACAAATACGCCTTCACCCGAATGTGCCACCCCTTGGGAGGAGGGAGGTGGCTCTCACCTTCCACCACAAATATCAGAGTGTTCCTTCTAACTGCATACAGCACTCTCTATAATTACATACAGCACACAGGTGGGAACTGTTAACGATTGTTATCTTCCTTTCATTACGATTTCAGTGCTGTTTTGACGTCCCAATGATGTCTTTACTGGTTGTTGCATGGCCCAGTCGCCGCGTGGGGTCTGCGCCCGGAGTCTGCCTTTAAGTCTCTGAGCATCCGCAAGGCAGGAGGCGCAGAGGACACCGAAGTCGCGGGGCCAGGGCCAAGAACTGTCCTGTCTCGCTGGGTGATGCGGTCCAGCCCCGGACCCACGCCCTGGCCCCTCTCCGGGTCCGCCGCAGCGCAGGCCTGTCAGAATTCGGTTCCCACCCACTCCCAGCTAGTGGAGGTCAGCGCGGTCTCGGACTGCCGACCTGCCAAACGCGGAGGCAGCCGCGGAGACTGCAGCCGCAGGGGGAGGCCGGCTGCCCGGACGGCCGGGAGCGGCTCCACGCAAATTCCTGACGCCTCAGTCCGGCCGCAGAGGCCGTGGGCAACCAGGGTGCTCCGCTGCCCGACAGGCGCGGACCAGCGCAGATGCTAGCCCGCCGCCGCCCCTCTCAGACTCCCCACTCCCAGCAGCCCCAGTCCTCACCTCTCGGGGCAGCCATGGTTCCCCGATAGCCCAGCGCGGAACTGACGCCCGCCCCTTCCGCGCCCCGGCGCAGGACACCAGGGACGGCCCCTTGTGGTCATAGAGACGAAGCCGCTCGGCCTAGAGCGGCTCGCCGGCCTCCCGGTCGGCCACGCGCTAAAACTGGTTTCAGGAATCTGAGCTACACCCCAAAATGGGGAGAACGCGGATCGAAAGGAGGCCTTCCCGGCCGCGTCCTAAGTGACAGGTGTGTGAAATTCAGTTGGGGAGGTGGTTCTGTAAACTGCGGCTCCCTGCCGGCTGAGTGAAGGGAGCGCTGCCTTCTGGGAATCGTAGTCCTCACAAAGGTGTGAGTAGGCGGCCGATAAGGATTTTGGTTTAGCCTTAGGGATTCACTCCTGTCAAAGCTGTTAGAAAAGCTCCCAGAACTCGTAAAGTAACAAAAACTACTTGCGGCAACATTTGTAACTTCCACCTAGCTCATTATCTTCCACTGTTACCTTGTGTTCTAGATAAGTTATAATTTATGCTACATATTGTTCAGACGTCTTGTGCCTGTTCCGTATCGTCAGCATTGTCATTGGTTATATTTACCCAGCCAGACATTCTAACGAATGATCTTCGGACAACAAAAGGGCCTTTTAAAAAAAATTAGATGTATCGGCCGGGCGCGGTGGCTTACGCGTGTAATCCCAGCACTTTGGGAAGTCGAGGCGGATGAATCACCTAAGGTCAGGAGTTCGAGACCAGCCAAGCCAATATGGTGAAACCCCGTCTTTACTAAAAATACAAAAAATTAGCCGGGCGTGGGGGCTCGCACTTGTAATCCCAGCTACTCAGGAGGCCGAAGCGGGAGAATCACTTGAACTCGGGAGATTACAGTGAGCAGAGATCGCGCCTCTGCACTCCAGCCTGGGCGACACAGCGAGACTTTGTCTCAAAAAAAAAAAAGTAGATGTATCAACAGGCATTTTAACCACTATAATCTCCACTTTCACTAGGGGATATTAATTATCATAACTGATATTAGAAATAATTCATTGGTGAAATAAATGATGTTCAGGATATGTGTATTGGTTTAAAATACTATGAAAATACCTCAGCACTTACAGGAATAGGGATGCAAGATTCTGAGCTGCCCAGCAGCCCACACCTTCTGCAGCATGTTCTTTCTCCAAAATTGTCCTTTTAGAGGGTTGAGTGGTGAATGTTATATACCATTGTCTTGTTAAATATACATATAGATATATCTGGTCTGTTAACATTCTTGGAACATTTTGCATGCCTTATTGGCATCATATTAATATTGGGAGGGGCTCCCAGGAGACCAGAGTTGACTTTGTAGAGGCAGACATTTGATGAATCTCATTTTGGAATAGTGTTGGCTCTTCCTCTACCTGGTAATGAGTGTGCTCACTGGTACTAATCTTCCCTTACCGTAATTGGTATAGTTTACACTTGTAGAATTATTCAGTTCTCTCCTGTGTATGTACTTATGCATACATTTAAACAGAAAAGTCATATATGTACTCGAAATTAATTTTAAAAATTAAAAATATTCTATCATACAGTCCTTCCTTTGTTTTACAGCTACTGCTTTGTATGGTTTCTCTCTTCCCAGTTTGGACTATCATTATAGTGTCAACTTACCTCAATTAAGTGTAATTTCTAAATGCTCAATTGTTCCAAAAGGCCCTTGTAAGCCTGCCTCTGTTTTTAAGCCTGCACCAACTGTTTTTACTATTTTTTTTCTTTTTGTCTTCTTGTAGAGATTGTGGGTGGGGGCATCTCACTTTGTTGCCCAGGCTGGTTCTCAAACTCCCCACCTAAAACAACCCTCCCACCTCAGCCCCCCAAAGTTCTGGGATTACAGGTGTGAACCACCACACCTGGCCTGCACTAGCTTTTTGAAGCATGTTTTAATTTCTGGCAACAAGAAGAGGTTTTGTTGTTTCCTGTCCTAGGTGGTAGAATCAGCTAGGAACTATCATTCCTTCTGGTGAGGAAGAGCATTTTACAGACAGACACACACACAGAGAGAGAGAGAGGGAGATCCCAATTAAGGTGGTGGGTCAAACGCTGCTGAGCCATTTTTGTGGCATTTCTGGTTCACGTAACATCATGCTGTTGAATCCTACTTTTCTTATACATTTTCATTGCCTCAAAAGACTATTATACTTCATTGGCATCAACCTTAACTAGATTTTGATGCCTCTTTGTCCTAACCCAGTTAGCCCAAGACCAACAGGGACAAACCTGTCAAACTATAGTCTGACAAAGTTGAGCTTACTGATGCCTTCTGATATAATGTGGACATTTGTTCCTGCCCAGATCTATGTTGAATTGTAATCCCCAATGTTGGAGGTGGGGCCTGGTGGGAGTTCTGATCATGGGGGCAGATCCTCATGAATGGCATTGGCCATCCCCTTGGTGATAAATGAGCTCTCGCTCTGAGTTCACAGGAGATCTGGTGTTTTAAAAGTCTCTCTCTTTCTTTCTCTCTCTCCTGCTCCAGCCATGTGATGTGCCTGCTCCCACTTCGCCTTCTGCCATGCGTAAAAGCTACCTGAGGCCTGCCCAGAAGCATATGCCAGCACTGTGTTTCCCGTACAGCCTGCAGAATCATGAGCCAATTAAACCTATTTTCTTACACATTACTCAGGCTCAGGTATTTCTCTATAGCACTGCAAGAACCACCTAATACACATTCCAATGAAGGAAACTGAACACCACAGGTATCTCAGGAAACAAAGAAAAAGATAAATTTATAGAATTTTAGGGAAGGATGGGATTAGGTGAAATTTAAAGGAAGCAGTGTTTGATAAACTCAAAGCATCCAATAGGGACTGTAGAACAGTCTCATGATCCTGTTTCTTGAAAACTACAAAGTTACCATAGATGTAGAATGTTGTATTCAGGAGCCCCTTAATTGAGGCTGCTTCTTTGTATCAAAATGATGTAGATCCCCCCCAAGCAAGAGTAAGGTGTTACATTCTTACTGATGTAATTTCAAGCAGCATGTTTTCCTAGAGTATATGATTTTAGAGAACAAAGTTTTTCAGTGAATTAGAAAGCAAACACTCAAAGAAGGGCCTTGCTATTACACTTTATAGTGTCAGCATATCCTTAGGAGAAATATTATTTCCCATTAACTTTGCAGCTGGTTTTACCTGGGTTTGTTATCCCAGCTCAATTAATGACCAAGCAGCTATTTAGTCTTACTCTGAGCTAATTTTTACTTTCTCACTCTGAATTATCCTCAGTCTTGGAGAAAAAAATATTGATTTAATGTCTTTCTTGTGCCTAGTTTTCCTTACAACTCTGGTTATAGCAAAAAGCAGCAATCCTTAACATGTGAGATACAAGGCCCTGTGCCTGATAAGCTAACCTTACAGTACTTCAAGCAGCCATTGCTATTGCCACTTGAGTCCCTAATGATTTCTGATTGTCACTAGAAAACTACAGTATTTGCCTCAATCCCCTGCTCTCTTCTATTTCCTGATCATGTATCAGAGCTACCCTAGTCTCAATGATGTGTGTAAAAAGAAGCCTAGTACTGTATCCATTGGTAATAAAGTAAAAGTATGAACTTAATTAAACAAAAAGGCTGTGAGGAAGCAAATACCAAAAGGCTTAAGGAGGTTATAATTGAATTCAAATATGGTGGCTATATAATAGATTATTAAATGTGGTAATGTTCAAAGAATAGTAAACAGTTAACCATAAAGAACATATAGACAAGATATAGATACCAAAATAAAATTGTTTCCCTGACAATTTAAGAATATTACTTTCATTGTGCTATTAAGCATCCGAAACCTATTTGCTAACTTATTGTTATTTTATTTATTTATTTTTATTTTTTGAGACAGAGTATTGCACTGTTGCCTCTGCTGGAGTGTAATGGCACAATCTTGGCTCACTGCAACCTCTGCCTCCAGGGTTCACACGGTTTTCCTGCCTCGGCTTCCCGAGTAGCTGGGATTACAGGCACACACCACCACACCCAGCTAATTTTTTGTATTTTTAGTACGGACGGGGTTTCACTATGTTGGCCAGACTGGTCTCAAACTCCTGACCTCGTGATCCGCTGCCTTGGCCTCCCAAGTTATTGTTTATTTTAAAGCAATTATTTCCTATGGTATAATATGACTAAAAAGAAGCCAATAATTGTCACATTTTATAATTGATAAAAAGATACAGGGAGATAATGTAAAATTCAATGTCTGGACTAGGAATTAAACATGAGTAATAATCATCTGTATCCAGACATTTCATATTTGAGCTTAACTCTCCCTTGCCTCTCTTTTCTTTTTTCATTACCATAATCTCTCTTTCCTTTTCCTGCCAGTCACTGATGGTTTGTACCTATTTCTACCATTTTATGCTTGCTTTGCTTCAGTGGTATTTCCACTCAAGCCAACTCTATGAAAATAGAGTTTGGCAATTGCCTACTCCATTGATGATTCTAATCCATCATCCTCTTTTGTTATTCACCATTTTCTGAAAGTCATAATGCGTCAAGTGTTATTCTAAGATTAACCGAGGGCTAGAAAACAAAAAGTAAAGAAAAATGGGCAAGGGGATACAATAGGCATTGGAGAATCTCTATTCTCTTAGCTAATATTGACAAGGCACTTACCAGGTAAGTGCTTTGTATGTGTTAACTTCTTTAATCCTTATGACAACCCAATCAATGAGTTTGGAACTATTATTATCTCATTTTTATGATACAGAAACTGCAGCAGAGAGGTGTTAAGTGGTACAGCTAGTAAGTAGAAGAGCTAGACTTGTCTTCCATGATCACAGAGCTTACTTTACATCTTTTTTCTACTCTTCTGACTGCTACTCTGTCTTATTTTGTCTTCTCTTCCTCCTCATTTAACCCCCATTCTCATGAGGATGACCTACCAAACTATCTTTGTATAGCCCAAATTCCTATTACCTCTGCTTTACTATCCTTGTCATCCCTTAAACTCAAATTTTCTAGTGCTGAACATGTTATCTTTTTTGATAACCAGCTCCCATTCTCAGTTATCCTTTATCTCCTAGGGCAGAAAGCCTGAGGTCATACTTTGAATTTTTCTTCCTTTTCCTTAGATATTATATCCTGTCTGCTTAATTTAATCTAGCATTTGCCCCTCCACTTCCCCCATCATGCATGCCCCAATTCTTGCAGGAGCTTCCTAGCCATCTCTCTAAAGCGAGTATCCCTCTCCCACAATCGATATTCTACTCAAGAATCTGCCATGATTTTCTAATGTTCTACCACAGGAAGGCAAAATGTTTCTCTGCTTGGCTTACAAAGTCCTCTAGAAAGTACACCATCCAACTCTGTTTATTCAACTTTATTTGCCAGCACTTCCTCAAAAATAATCTCCCCTTCCCTCTTTACCATTTTTCTCCCTCTTCTTTTGCAGTAACTACTTTACTGCTGAACTCTATTAGCTCCCACCTTGACTATTCAAATAATCACTCAACCAATACCCTGCTTCTAGTTTGCCCTTTCATTCCTTCTTTTTTTAATTCATTCATTTATCCAACAAGGTACAAATGCCAGGGGATATAAAGATGACTAACACATAATTCAAATCTCAAGAAATTCAAATCTAACAGGAAGAATACAGATGTACTACTATCTATACATCAATTTATTTTAAGTGCTATAATAAAAGTAATAATAAAATCCAATGAAAACTTAAAGAAGGAAGCAATTAACTTGCTTAAAAGAAATGGGGAAAACTTTCATGGAAAAGATAAAGTCTGATCACACTTTTTGAGGACTGTACCTGTGGACTACATTCCAGGGCAGAGAGTGAAAAGCACAAGTTAAGAGTTGGGGGTATAAAAGACCATGACCTATTTGGGCTGGGCTCATGCCTGTAATCCCAACACTTTGGGCCAAGGTGGGCTGATCACTTGAGGTCAGGAGTTTGAGACCAGCCTGGCCAACATGGCAAAAACCCATCTCTGATAAAAATACAAAAATAAGATGGGCGTGGTGGCACATGCCTGTAGTCCCAGCTACTCAAGAGGCTGGGGCATGAGAATCACTTGAACCTGGGAGGCAAAGGTTGCAGTGAACCAAGATCATGCCACTGCATTCCAGCCTGGGCAACAGAGCAAGACTCTATCTCCAAAGATAAATTAATTAAATTTTTAAAAAAGACCATGACCTATTTGAAGAGTTTTGGTTCAATCTGGCTAATGTGTGTGGTGTGTGGAGAGAGTATGGGAGGGGTAAGAGAGGAAGCTGGAGGATAAATGGAGATCATATTTTGAAAAGTTTTACATAATATATGAAGGATGTTTTAGTTCATTCCCTAGGAAGTGAACAAGAGTCTTGGTAACTTTTAAGCAACTGAGGCAAAGGCTGGGAGGAAGAGGAGGCCAGATGACACGATCAGATTTATGCATGAGAAAACATCCTGATGAACCATATAAAAAATGGAGGCAGCAGTGACCCAGGCAATAAGACAAAGTCCTGCAGGGGAGGTGAGAATAGGAAGACATGAATCTCAGTGACAATTCAGGTCAAATGAACAGAGCTTGAAGGCTAGTAAAACAGGAAGTTTTTAACTTATGCTACTGAGTAAGGCAGTGGTGCCTTTGAAAATAGAAGAAAATAAAGAGAAAGAAACAAGTTTGGCATAGAAAGTTATTTTGATCTGTGACCTGCTGAAATGGGGGTGAGCAACAGACATTAAATTCAGCATATGGTTGGAAGTCTTCAGAAGGATGGGGCTTGAATAGATGGTGGAGGTCCAGGGAGAGGATGAGTTTTCCATTGGATGTAGCTCCCTTTATTCTGTTGTACTTACCAGGTGACTGTCTGATATTAAGACTGGCTTTTCAAATTGGATTTGGTATTTTTATTCACTTGGCCATTCTACTTCCAAGCCTTAACTTGATAAGCCCAAATTGCCGGTTACAGCCATTCTTTTCTGTGTTTAGGAATCTTGCAGAATCAAATAACGGTTAATTGAACAGATAAAATGACATTCCTGAATTTGTAAATTTTAGTATCACCCCACTCCTTCAGGTCCTGCCTTAACAGCCAGCCAGTCTATCTTAAACATCATTTGTAAACTACAGGTATGAAAATCACAAAAACTTAGAAGTAGGTTTGTTTGAAGTTTACATGCAGAAAATGGATTTCAAAGCATATTCATAGTGTAAATCACATTCAAACAGCCAGGCGTGGTGGCTCACACCCGTAATCTCAGCACTTTGAGAGGCCAAAGTGGGCAGATCACTTGAGGTCAGGAGTTCCAGACAAGCCTGGCCAACATGGCAAAACCCCATCTCTACTAAAAATACAAAAATTGGTCAGGCGTGGTGGTGCACACCTGTAATGCCAGCTACTCGGGAGGCTGAGGCAGGAGAATCGCTTGAACCCAGGAGGCAGAGACTGCCATGAGCTGAGATCATGCCACTGCACTCTAGCCTGGGCAACAGAGCAAGACTCCATCTCAAAAACAAACAAACAAAAACATTTAAGCTACACAGAAAGCAAATTATACAAATGCTTTAGTAAAAAGTCACCTGAGCAGAAAAAATATGCCAAATAAAAATGACCTCCTAGCTGCTAAAGCAAGTCAAACAGCCCCTCCTAGAAGCTTTATTATCCATGAATTGGTATTAGAAGTATGTAAGA